ACTAACCTAACCTAACTACTACTACTACTACTCTCTCTCTCTCTCTCTCTCTCTCTCTCTCTCTCTCTCTCTCTACTTCCTTCGTCAACGAGCAAACTCAAAGCCCTCTCTCTCTCTCTCAATATTCTCTCGGTATATTCCCTTGTAAAACAATCTCAAAACCTCTCTCTCTCTCTCTCAACGTTGCCCACCCACCATGAATAATAGAGAGGGCAATGAGCTGATCGCCAGGAGGACATTGTTCAGTCCAAGGGCCTCGCCTCTGCCTCAGTCTCCATCTCCAAGGCCTGTGAGGCGCAATCACTCAACCCGCAGATTGTGTATGTATGTGGAGGAGATCATCAACTCGATTTGCAGCATAAACCAGAGGCAACAAACATTAAAACTTCAACAACAGGTACATAGTCAATGGCAAACCAAGATATATCCATCGGTTTCAGTAACGAAATACACAACTGGGAGAGAGTGAGAGATGCCTGCTGCCATTACAGTGCATGAAATAAAACAATTAAGCATTAAATCAGCAATTTTCATTTCTCCATTGAATGCAACGCTTGCGAAGGCCTTAAGTTGGTTATATGTTGTTTTCTTTCTATAGCTGGCTGATAAGGATAGGCAAATACGGCACGAGAGAGAAATGAAGATGACATACAGGGCAAAGTTTGAGAGGCTCCAGGAATATCTCAAATACTGTCTACAAACTGCACAAGAAAACGGGTTCCTCAATATAATAGCAAACAACCAGTCGCATGCTTGTGACTTCAATCCAGAAACGAGCCCTGAACCAGACCCACCTCTCAGTGATCCCGAGTTATCATCTCTCAAGGATAAAGCAAGGGAGAATGGTTGGTACATCCAAAAACATGAGGTTAGTTACACCCAGAAACTATGAGTCACTCATACATGCATCAAGTAAAATAAGAATTAAGAGAGAGCACAGTACTAATAAGATAACTAAAAACTATGTTTGTATGCACGCACAGGGGGAGGCGGGAGAGAGAGAGAGAGAGCAGTAGTAGCAGGACAATTCAAAACCCAGTAGAAATAGTTATTAGTGTGTTTGTGTGTGCAAGAGAAAGAGAGAGAGAGTGTAGTGTGACCCCATGGCCTACAATCTTTTCGTCACAACAGAACATGCCAACCAGAATTACAAAAATGAAAGGCAATTTGCATGCCACGGTCACTATAATCTGTCTTTCATAGCCTAGTTTTAACCTTACCCAAAATAAAGAAGCTTTTGAATTAGGAAATATATACACTGAGATCATTTACTTTTGACACAAGGAGGTCACAATCATTGTTGACCGTTAGATTTGAAATCGGGTGATTGATGATGTGTCATTGTTTAGTTATAAAGTTCAAAACAAAATTTCTTGAATGTTGAGCTAAATTTTCATCTATTGGATTTCATATCCAATGGGTAAAAGTGATTGTGATGCCTTGTACCAAAAATAAATTGTCTCATAGTATACAATCCCTTTGAATTATATCAGTTTTCTCAGGTACTTCAATAGTTATCATACTTCTGGATTTGACTTCCATGGTTACCAATCAAAATCTAAAATATTTATATATTAAAAAAAACTACTTAAATTCCTCCATGCTTGCTCTATAACTCTGGGTCGTCTAAAAACTGAGTTGTTGCCATGAGAGGAAGAATGGCAAACAAACCATCTCCAGTTTTTTAGGGCAAGTAAAATCCAATAGACAACGGTATATACGAAGCCGTCTATCAGGTTATCATAATCAATCAATAAAATGATGGATACTTAGACTTAATGTCCTTTTTGTGTGGGACTACTTCCACCATCACCATCCATTATTTCAATAGATAGTGATGACCCATTGAAACATGAGTATATCATAGTCCACAGAATTATAGCCTACTCAACCTTTTTCAAAAAATATCAAGATATTATCACAAGAGTTACCAAGCACACAATGTTATTTCCAAAATCTTGTGATATAGAAAAGTTTCGTGCATGGATAGACACTTGCATGTGTTTAGGCAAGGATCCTATGGTACTTACACAATAAGTGTGGGACCCTGATCTCCACCAACAGTTAAAGAAACTCCCGAGATTTTTAACTTTGTGAATAGTCTATCATAGTTTTACCCCTTCATTCATTTTTTCAGGACTCTCTCGAGATAAATGAAGGTTCCAAAACTTAACTGAGAAATTCCTAGTAGTAGTCACCATTCATCAGTTTTTTTAAACACAAAATCAGCTGCCTAGGCAGCCAAGGGTCTGGGCGGCCGTCCAGGGGGGACCCTAGTCACCTAGGCAGCCCAGATAGAGAGGAGGCCATTTTGGGTCCTCTATGAGGTTATTGGGGGGTGATCCAAAGCCCCCATAATTGAACCTAAGTAGAAGAATTAAAAATGAATCATTACATACATACACGAGTCTAAAATTTTAATTTGGAAAACTAGAAGTCTAAAACTTTAGAAGATTGAAACTTGCCCAACATTCATTCAAAATTGTATGGACCATTAATTATTTACATAAAACAATCTTCCACTACAAGCCAATATGCCATAGTCCAATCCACTGTCCACATTGACCATCATATTCAGAATAGGAAGTCACAGCTCACAAAAATCCAAACTCAAAAGGCTTGAAACTACAAAACTCAGAGGTGCCACTTCTGAGTTTTGGACCTTTGCCGAAACACCTATTTTTCCACCACTTCAGGTTATACTATTCAATTTCCCAAAAAATGGAAAGCACCAAATTGTTTTTCCAATCTTGGAAATATCTCACAAATCAATATTTTGATGTGTTTCTCTCAAAAAAGTGAAGTACAAGGGGTTTTTTTTCCTCTCTGTTTTTTTTTGTTTCCATTTCGGTTTTTTTTTTTTCGGACCTTTAAAATTATGTTTTCTGCCCTTGCCTAAGGGATTTTTCGAGCCTTGAGCACAGTCATCGAGGTGGCCGCTTAGCGGCAAGGCTACTAGGCAGGAGCCTCTTTTACATGGCTGAATTAGGGGCACACATATGCCACTTCGGTCCAGAAGAGGACCTCAACCGCCTACAATGCCATGCATCAAACTCCAAGAAAATCACGCCAATTAAACTACACTTAAATATCTGCAAAATGCTAATGCAGATAGAGCTGCATGAAAAGGTAGGCCAAGGAAGCACAGCAGAAATCCACAGGGGGACATGGAGAGGGCTGGATGTTGCAGTGAAGTGCATAGACCCTGGCCTCTTCCATAGACAACCCGAGGCGGTGAACTGGTTTGTCCAAGAGCTTGAAACACTTCAACGACAACGCCACCCCTTCGTACTCCATGTAATGGGTGCTTGTCTAAATCCACCCAACAATGCATGGGTTGTGACCGAGCTTTTGAGTGGCAAAACCCTAATGGAATGGCTTCATGGTCACAAGGAGAGGAGAAGCACAAGAGATATACCGCTACCCCCATTAAGAGAGAGGATTAGAGTTGGAATGGAAGTGGCCCAGGCCATGAGGTACTTGCACGAGCAGACACCTAAAGTTGTGCATAGAGATCTGAAGACTAGCAATGTGTGCCTCGATGATTATGGGCATGTGAGGGTGGCTGACTTTGGGCATGCACGGTTCTTGCCAGAGGGTGAACATGCACTCACTGGAGAGACAGGTACAAGGTTTTGTGGTTCCTTAAAGAGGGTGGTTGATGTGCCTCTCTCTCT